ATGGTTTTGGGCAGAGTGTCCTCTAGCGGCCACCCAACCCAACCCAGGCCAACCCTGCTCACAAAAACGGGTTCTAAAATGAAAAATTATCATCTTGAGCCTTCATACAACAACTGGCAGCTGGAATCAGACTGCTCTGGTGAATAGGACAGCTTTTAATTCCACTGAGGCATTGAGTGCATTAGAAGCACATCCTCGCGTGTTCCGTGAAAATCTTCCTGACTCAAGTTGTGTGTCCTTCCAGCCTCGGTGCTCCCCACATCAGCTCCTTCCAGAGCACACGGGGCTCTGCTAGGACAGGCTAGCACAGCTGGTGGGAGCTGTTCTGCAAAGCTGGGAGTATAAACAAAAACGCTCTCTCCAAACCACGCGTCAGTCACTCTGGAGCCATCATTTCCCCTGGCACATCTGGACACTTTGCAAATATGAGGCTTTTGCTTTCTGCCTCTGGTGCATAAACTCTGAGTTCTAAACCAACCCTCTGCAACAGCAACAACAAAATCCCTTTTTATTTGTATTGCAAAGAGGAGAGCTGGGCCAGGGCTCAGTCCCATTTCTGTGGGATGGGTCCTGGCTGTGGAATTGCATTTCAGAGTCTGGCTGTGCTGTGGGGGAGCAGCTCTGGGATGGATTGAGGGGTATTTGCTCACTGCTTTGTAGGAATCTTGGCATCTTGATTTAACAGAGCACGGAGAATCATTTCAGTGCAAGGCAAGTTCTGCAACCCACACATTTTCTGAGAAGCAGATCTTCACCACATCTCTCCTGCCTTGCTCATCTGCCCTTGTGATAAACAGGATGTTGGTGAGGATCAAGGAACACCTGCAATCCCAGGCCTCTAAATCTCATATTAATTTATTTCCCATCAACATGAGAAATTCTCTGATTTGTGTATCTCTGAGCAAGAACCAAAACTTATCTCCTGAACACCAGGAATGATGTTGACCCTTGTGTCCCATGCTGCAGCATTTCCAGCCTCTGCTGCACAGGCTTTTCACACCTGTAGAAAGCAAAAAGTTGGGGGGTTCCTCAAGTGGGGTTTTTTCCCACCCACCCTTTGTTTTTTTTTATTTTTAACTCTCCCTTCTGTCTCTTTTTCTTCAGCAGAAAGATTTCCCTCAGGGGACCTGCCTCCTCTCTACACCTTGGGGAACTGTGACGTTCTGTGTTTTACAATAAAGTGAACATAAACATCATCTAACAAATTTAATTTCCCCAATACCATTTGTATGACACATCCACGGCTTTCCAAAGCAGAAAAGGATTTTCTTTCAGCACACATCAGGCGAAGGAAAACATTAACGTTGAACTAATCTCCTGTTATAGCTGGGAAAAGGACATTTATCATACACACAGATGACAGGAAGAAACACACAGACAGGCAATTATCCTATGGAATAAAGGTTAACAGATTCATTTAATTAGCAGCAGCTGTATTTGCTATTATGATCAGATTCCTACCACAGCTGAAACCAAAATATTGTTCTCAATACTGGAGGAATGAAAGCCTTGAACACCCGCTCTTAAAACTCCACATCAATTAAAGGCTCAGACAGAGCCTGGGGACAGGAGGGGAGCTGCAGTTCAGAATGCACAGAACCAACTCCTGACACGTTTGGTTTAGGCAACTCCTTGAAGTACAGAAATGGATGAAAACACCTTTTGATATTTGTTGTTTACAGGTCAAACAGCCAGGGAACTGAGTTCACTCTTTAGCTACTCTGATACATTGAACCATTCCTGTGTGTGCTGATCCCAAAATTCATCCTGCACAACTGCATTACTTCAAGGTTTGGAACTCATCATCTGGGCAGGTTTGAGAGATCACATTCTGAGGAGTTCATCTAAAGCTATGCACCTGCACCATACTGTTAAGCATTTTTTCTGCTGTTTTTGTGTCTTGACCTCCAATTATGGAAATAAGCACTCACCTACAAAGTATTCTAATCGTAACATGATGCAAAGCCATTTAAAGAAGGCTAAAAAGTCTTTACTGAATTTATTGATACAGAAACACATATTAATAACGTTTAAATTGCATAATACTTCTGCATGCCTCAAGCCAACTGAACTCTAGTTTCTATACAGAGATTTTTCAGCTTACACGTTCATAACTAAAGCAGCTTGAAGTTCAGTTCTTTTTGCAAATTTGCTGCAGGATCAAAACCTAAAAGGAGCCACATACAAAAAAAAAAAAAGTGACAACTACTGAGAACACAAAAGGAAACAAAGCAGGTACAATTCCTGGACAGCTCACAGATCCATACAAACGCAGCTCTGCCTCAATTCCTCTGCTAGAAATGCCTAAAAAAACTACAGTGCAAGTGCTTGTGCACAGGGAAAATGTATTTACAATTCCCCTTTATTTACAGGCTATAAGCAATACTATTTCACAGTTGTATTATACATTATATTTCTACTATCTCTTTAGATCTGTTTAGATCTGTGGGGTTTTTATTGGACAAGGGGACAATTTGACAACCTCGAACATAAATTTCCTGTATATATATATATATATTTATTTATTTATTTATTTATTCAACCGTATGCAGGAAAAAATAGCAGTATTTATGCATCTTATAGAAAGCTACAAAAATCTAGCGAATGTAATAAAAAAGGCAAATCTGGTGAAAAATCTGATAAAATACCTTTTACAACTGGGGCTGGGATGGAGATAAAAACCAAAAAAGGATAAATGAAAGATAATCCTCCCTCAACTGGTCAGCTTTAACAGAGCCTCTGCAAAGCTTACTAACAGGAACTTGAAGTTTAATGTCATTTTTAAGGGAACTTCTGTAAAAGTGTTGTGGTTAAACTGAAGGATGACCTGGTAGCCAAAAGCAGGAGGCACCCTGGACTATGGAGGGGTGTGGAAATTGTGCCACAATCCAGAAAGGCACATACCTGGCATGACACCCATTAAGCAACATTTTCCAACAAACAATAGGCCACAGCCTGTAGGGAAGCACTGAGAATAATCACACACAGATTCTATTAACCCTCTCTTTCCCACCACAGGACTTGCATTTGTGGAAAGAAATTAATGGGAGCTGCCAGAACCCAATGATGGGGACATGCACCTTTACAGGAAACCATCAGCTCAGTGGCCACAGAACTGCCCCACTGCAAATAAAGGAATCAAAATCCTAAGGAGCAAGATAACTTGGGGTACCACTGGGACCAGAAGTGGAGACAGGAAACCAGAGGCAGAAGCCAGCCTATGACTGTGTTACGTGCTGGCAGCCACATGACACAGGATTATCAGACAATATTCCCAAAGACACACAAAAATCCTGTTAAGCAAGGAAAAGTTCTCCACTTCAGGCTTAGACATAAAAGTTATTCATTTATTTTCAAAGCCACACAGAACTTTGAAACTATTTTTCATTAAGCAAGTTGTGTACCTCTGGACCATTTGGCAATACAGTCTTCACTCATTCCCCCTCAGAAAATGAGGAGACAGCACATTAAAAAAACCAAAAGATATCAAAGTGATACCAACTTAAGTGCTTGTGATGGGGCAATACCTTAACACAGCTTCATTCCCTGCTGAGAGAGAGCTTTTCATGCCCCCCAGCTTTAGGACTATTTCATATCAACACAAACTCCAGGGCTTCTTTCCAGCCTATTTTTTTCCAGTCCATTGTGGACTCCCCATTCCTGGATCTGCTCAAGGCCAGGCTGGATGGGGCTGGGAGCAACCTAGCCTAGTGGAAGGTGCCCCTGTACATGGCATGGGGCTGGACAAGATGGTCTTTAAGGCCCCTTCCAACCCAAACCATGCTGTGATCCTATGATTCCATGGCATCTCCTTCCATCAGAATGACAGAGAGACTTGGGAATAAAAATTACAGCTCACATCCACAGAACTGCCAAGTGACAAGTCCTTCCATATGAATCTGTTAAAATTTCTACTTCATTGCTGCAGGAATAAGATCACCTACCAAGCTGAGCAGCTTCACTCCACTGTGGAACACTTGTGAACAAGTTGTGTTCTGGCCACCTTGCCACAGCAGGGGCACACACACAAGAACACCTGAGAACTGCATCAATTTGGCTCTCTAGACTGCTCTCAGGTTCTGCAGACTCTCCACAAATCTCTGTTTGGCTGATTCACTGCTCAGGTTGGTGCTCTGCACCTCACTCTGCTCAGCCCAGGAGATCTGAGTTATCTCACACAATAAAACCCATGGATACTGCTTTCAGCTTGCACAAACTCACTGCTCTGCAGCTCTGCTCTACCCTCTTCTCCTCTCAGCACTACCCTGTAAACATTTCCAGAGACAACAGTCCCAACCCTGACTACCCTTGCATCCTGTCAAACAGCTTTGCAATTCCTCACTTGCCTCCATCGCTTTAAAAGAATCACAAAAACTCAGTAACTCCTTCTCTAGGACTGGTGTTTTCCATTAAAAAACCCGGTATTTGATGAAACACATTGTACTGAAAATTATATATAATTTACAAGCAAAACAGACTAACAAAGGGGAGCTGATGCTTTCCTTCTCATTCAAAACCTGGATGCCACAAGGGTAATGCCAAAAATTCTTTCCTTTCTGTAGAAGTTGTGCTTTTCAGCTTACTGGAAGAAGCATGATTTGCCAGGTCAGGTTTTAACTAATAATCTTCATCCTCCATTAAACACACATCATGGCAAATACATAGCAGATTTAGTGGGAGAGAACACAGACAGGAAAGGTCTTTGGGGAACTGCTTAGGAGTTTTTCCCAACTGATATTCGGTAGAGCAGCCATGACATTTTAGGAATATCTCCTGCAGTTAGTTTTGAGGGAATTAAACCCTCCTTTCCATAAGCAGCTGAGCACTTCACCAACTTGCTTCCTAAGGAATCCCTGCTGTAGGATAAACTATAGCACACAACTGAGAAGAAAGAAGGAACTCAAAAAAGCTATAATGTCAAAGTTTACAGCAGCCACATTCCCCAGCCAGCCTACTGCCTCAGGTGTCACATTCGCAGGCAAGCAAGTGGGACACATTTGTCAAGCCCTAAGGAATACTTTATTCTCTGCCTACTTCCCACTTCCTAGAAGAAGGAAAACTACTTTTCCCTGTAATAAAGCAAGTAATACTTCAAGGGATCGGGCAGTGGCAGGCTCAAGACCTTTTCTCTCAAAAAGTTTACGGGAGGCTCTGGCTTTAGTTCCGAGGGTTTGGTTTCCTCCTCCTCCGGCCTCTCCTCCTCCATGTCCTCGCTGTTGTTGTTGTCGTCGGAGGGGCTGGAGATGCGGCTGGCGAACACCTCCTTGTCCAGGAACACGATGGTTTCCATGCGCCGGCGCCGCACCCGCCGCCGCTTGAACCTGGGCGGGTTCTTCAGCCCGTTGCCAGCCTTGCTCAGGGCCTCCTGGTGGATGATTTTCTTGATGGTGCCTCGGATGGCGATGCGAGCCAGGTCCTGCAGGCTGCGAACGGCCACGGGGGCTGCAACCAAACCAAACCCGTGAGCACACACGGAGAAACGCCCCCAAGAAGTACTCCCAGGAAAAGTTCTGTTTGCTCAGATTAAATCAGGCCATTTGAATTCCCTGCTGGGATTACACAAACAGCTCTATTCAGCTCCTGTCAACTCGGATAAACTGTGTTGCAACTTTCCAAACAAAATTTAATTGTGGGTTTCTCTCATTAAAAAATTTCCTGCCTTGATTTCAAGTTCTCAGTTATTCTAGAATGCACATCTTAAAGATTGCACGAATGCATTCTTAGCGATGGGAGCTGTGACTGTTTAATGGCTCAGAATAAGGTATTTTCCTGTGGTAGATAACTAGACTTGAAGTCTGTTTAATTCTTCCATAACATGATTTTTCTATTTTACAGTTTCTTCAGCTTTGCCAAGATCTGCACTTATAAAACACAAGTACTATTTATGCTCTTCAAAAACTGCTTCAGACTCAGTGGGTGAAGACAGACTAGAAACCATTTTGTAGAAGTAATTATAGAAACATTACATTAAGTTACTGTATTAAAATGCCTCCCACATTAATGGCTTAGAAGACTATTCTGTCTTCTGCACTTGTTTGCTGCCAGCCTAGAAATGCAGCAAAAATTTATAATAATGTATAGATGCACACATATCCATGAACTAAAATGAATTACAACTGATACAAAAAGTCCCTGTCCTCTGCCAACAATGTGAGAACAATGAAAGAAGCATAAAATAATACATGTAATTTATGGGCAGGTCTCACTACAAAGTGAGAACATGCTGAAACATGCACTTAGTGGACTTTCTAGCATGTGGTGGATTGTTTCGTGAGCTCCTCTCTGCCATGCAGACACATTTCCAGGTTAAGAGCAAAGCCTGACTAATCTCTTTATGAAAGTACCTCTGTCTTCATGTGTTCTTAAGAGGCCTCTTGACACTGAAGTCTTAATCTAAAGATTGGGGCCACTGATATGACCTGCATTTTAAACAACTAGCTAAGAACTGCACAACTTGTATCCCTAAAGCATTCCAGGTTCAGGATCATTCTGGATTGCTGGGGGTGAGAGTCTGTGAGTAGATACAACATTTGTTCAAAGGTACTGCTTGTGTATTTTCCTCTCCTTGTGGCACAGTGCCTGAGAACCATGAGAGGATTCAGTCATTCAGGACTGGAACAGAATGTGCAAAAACAAAGATAAAAACATCCTGCAAAGTTCAGGTACAACTTCACAGGAAATCCTTTGGGTTTAGAATGATGGCCCAGTGGAAGGTGCCCCTGTCTACAGCAGGGATATTGGAATTAAATGATCTTTAAGGTCCCTTCTAACCCAGGCCATTCTGTGAGTCTGTGATTTAGAATCTATTTCATCCAACTCCAATGCTTGCACAAGACAGACAACTGTTCAGAAAAAGGAATTTTCCCTGAAATGATTCCCAGAGATGTTACAGCTCACAGCCAAGGAGCAGAAGGAACCTCCCCCAGCCTTAGGAATGTCTGTACTCACGCAAGTGAACGAGCCTTGATTTTCCTGAATCTGTGTGGTTTGGCTGAATCAAAGGAGCAAAAGAAACAGCAAGAATCTTCTTCGTCTCCCAGGCAGAAGGACCAACCCGAGTTATCTTAGTCAACTGAAGCAAAACAAGGAGATTATTATCCATTGTGAGAACTACAGTGAGATTTTTGAACAAAAAAAAAATGAACAAATTACTTTTCTGCCTGGACAAGTTGAAATATTGGAAGCTGCAACAGTAAGAGGTCATAAGGAGAAACAGAATTGGTTTTGGAAAAATGATTGGCAACTCCTTACAGGATCAGCCCCAGTACCTTCATCTATTGGAACAGAGCATGGGCACTGGTAATTTGGGTCACTCTGCTTGCCAGATCTTCCTCCAGGCTTGACCAGAGCAGCTGTGTCTGACCTCTGGGAAAACTCCTGAGTCACTATGAACACTTGCTCCTGAAAAGGTCTGCAGATCAAATCTCCTACCCCAGCCCACTGCACAGCCTCTTACTGGGAAGAAACCCTGCACCCTGCTCCTCTCATGTTCCCTGACAGAGGTAAAAGGTCAGGCACTTAACCCACTTTTTATAAAAAGAATCCACTGACACTTGTAAATAGAGACATCCTGCACGCTCTTTCAAGAGCCAGTCAGGGTGCAAAAAGTTGTGTTTTGCCATTAAGCACATCACTAAATTATATAATTAAACAAAGCTTTGCTCACATTTTCTGCAGTGTAGAAGTAAAATTGCAATTAACAACAGATTGCAATATATAGAAGAGTGCAGAATTACAAATTTCTGATATATTAGGAATGTGCAGAGTTCAGTTTTCAGTCATAGTGAAAACCAATGCACTTCATTCTTTCTTCAGCATGCAACAAGGGCAAGATAAAGGAACAGCTACTGACTAAGCCAAGATTAGAATTAAGAATAGCTGAAATAGAAGTAAAAAGGCACTCAACCTTCTCTTCTAGAGGCATGACAAGAATTCCCCCAACTTTCAACAGGTTCTTCATGTAGTCCTCGTGCTCCTTCTGGACTCCAGCACCACAGTAGACACGGTCATACTGAGTGCAGTCTGGAGAAATCTCTAAACAATTGCCAATGACAAAGGATGGCTCACAAAATTCAAACCTGAAAGTGAAAAATACCTGTATTAGACAAGAATATGACAATTTATCAAAATTAATTATTTTCACAATTCTGGAAAAATTGAACTATGGAAAACACTTGAAAAAAACCCCACAGTTGTACAGGATTTCTCCTCCAAAGCCCATCTATTCCAGACATTATTGTAACAGATCACAGCTAGAAGTTTCAAAACCACAGAACAATGAGGTCAGAATTCATGGATTAAAATCTCCAAAGGATAAGGATACATAATTTCATACTTGAGCTGCAGATAGCTCTTGAGAACGAGCTATTTTTAGTCACTGATGCTGACTCAGTTGTAATATGCAAATATAAATATTAGACCTGCACTTCCAAATGTCAAGGTCTTTTAAGGACTGCACCTGGGTTTATTTTTGCATCTTCAAAAGCTTTTAACTGGTTGTCAGATGTGGGGAATTACTGCCTGATGATACAGAAGTAAACTGTGCTTAAGCCAATGGAAGTTTTGCCATCAGTTTCAAAAGAACTGTGATTTCACCCTTCATAAAAAAAGACTTTTTGCCTACAGCATTTCTCACTCGGTTTAAAAGAAAAATTAGTGATTCTCTGACGCCTCTGGTTTTCTTACAAGCTCCAAAACTCCCTAAGTTTTAAGCCCTATGTTTAAAGGCTGATTTTGGTAGAAGTTGTTCAACACATCCATTCTTTCACTGGTATCTTGAGTGGCAGCTCAGCACAGCACCTATTTATTCCTAAATGCTTCCTGGAGCTTTCTGGGTTTGCAAAGAGTGCTGGACATTCAGAGCAGCCAGAGAACAGTTCCTGCACACACTGTTCCAGGAGCACAACCCAGCAGACATCACTCAGCAATGCCAATTTTCCAGGCATGTTGATTTCTGAATTCAGCTCACTTTTGCTCCATAGCTATATTTGTCTGGAGAGAAAGTCTTCCTTAAAACATCTCCCCAAACAATAGCAATGTGACTGAAAAAAACCCTGTTGAGCACCATCCATGCCAGAAACTTTCAGTCTTCTGCAGAAAATACAACCCCTCCCTCAGCAGCTTCCCAGGGCAGCAGGAACAGCAAAAGGCTGAGTAGCCTAAAATCCTGCATGTCATGATTTTAATTTTCTTCCTCCCAGGAGAGGAGGACATCAGATGCTTTGCTTCCCTGTTTGAACAAACTGTGAAACGGCTCCAAAAATGTGACAGCCACAACTTTTATTGCTGAGGTTACTATTGGCAATGGTTATCAAGCTGGGAAGTTATTACTTGTGACAGCAGCAGAATGGAGGGTCTAAGGAAGAACATAAATCAAATCCCAGGCAGTTTTAGTACCAACTTAATCATCATAAAACTACCTTCATATTTTAAAATGCCATTTTTCCTTCTTCTCAGATAAAACATATTAGGCCACCACAAAAACCAGTTCATAATCTCATCACCATGCAGATCACAAGCACGACCAAGTACTGTTACTTGCAAGTTTTAAGCTGTTACTGCAAGTGCATTGAAAAATAAACAAACTTCCTCAGCTCCCTCTAAGCCCTGCGACATCAGCATTGCTATTAAAAACACTGCAAACATTTCTGAAACTCCCCCACAGCACACACAGGCTTCGAAGGTCACACACTGCAGCTCAGCAAGCCTAAGGAGCCTGAATCCTCAGATTACCCTGAATCCAGAGGGGCCACATGGGAGCAAGAACTGCCCTGAGTAAAGCCAAAAGCACAAAATTAATCCCAAGAGGCATTTTGCATTCTTACCTGTCAAAGCTGTCGCTTGTTTTAATAAAAAAGTCCAATTTCTGCTTCGCGTACTCGATCACATCAGAGTGAAGCTCCACACCGTGGTTAACCCCAAAAGGACCTGCAAGTGCAGAACACCAGGGAATGGCAACAGCAACAACACAAAATCCAGCAGGATTAGTACACTTCGGGTTCCTTCCTGCAGCAGATTGTTCCATGAGTGTCAGAGTGGGTGTTTGTGTAGGGTCAGCTCTCTTACTGCTACAATGGGATTTGCAAGTCTATACCTGCAATTTCTGGCAGCAAATGAGCCTCTTGTGCACAATTGATTCCGAATCATTTGCTCTTAACTATGCAGGAAACTTCTCTATAGGAGGGAAACATTGATGCCATTGCTGTGAAAGTGACTACCTGGAATAAAATCCCAATGGCCTGCACGTTTTAACACATCCATGTTATTTATATCCCCTTGCTGATATGCTAAAAATCCCTGCAATTAATCAGGAATAGTCATCATACACTATACTTCAATTAACAGCAAAAACAAACTGGAAAATACAGAAGTTGTTCAGCATTCATGCTTTTTATTCAGAACTGACAGGGTAACTTTTGCAAAAAGAATATCAAAGCCCTAGAGTTACATATTGGTATTCTAAGTAATATCAACAAACCTAGGAGAAAATCACAAATGGGAAATGAGACTCTACCCTGAGAATAAACATCCCAGCAGTTAAAATTCCCCCAAAATTTAACTAAGTACCCTATAGCCACTTGCTATCTATCCTGGCAGCACCACTCTGACTGAAACACTGCAGGGGGAATTTAAATTGTCCAATTACACTTGGATGATTTGGTTTGTGCCACTGTAGATGTGGTCCCAAATCAGTTGTGCTGCACTATGTTTTCCAGAGAATATTCTCATCTGCGTTGGCTAGTTAAGAGTCAAAAGTGCAACTCAAACACGTCTCAGTCCAGTCAGGACTGTGAACACAAACCAGGCATGGAGCAGGTATAGTCACAGCTTTCTGTGGACTTGCTCAGTCCCAGTTTCAACTCTCTAATCCAGATCCAGATCTGATCTGCTTAAGAGGAAACAAACCACGGTTTGTGTCCAGACCTGCAGGAATCCACCACAGCCACCTCTGGAACTACACTGCTGCCTGTTATGATCTGCCACAGGAATCTGGATCCCACCCAGTTCCAGAGAGAAGGTTGTGAGAATCCTGATAAATTGCCGAGCTGGATTAATGCATTCTTTATTTTCCCAGCTACTTTTTTAGCTCCATTAGAGGAGGAATGCCTCATCCCCAATTTCAAAATCTGTTTTTAAAGCTCTAGTAAAACAGTTAACGTGACTGAAGAGGTATTTACCCAGGATGAGTCCAACCATGGAACTCAGATAACCAGTGCCACTGCCAAGGTTCAGAAACGACAGCCCTGGCTGCAGGTCCAAAGCTTCCATCACCTCTGAGTAAATGCACGGTGCTGAGAGATGAATATTTCCATGCTTCCATGCCAAGTCCTTGTAGGCATTGTCTTTGAACTCTTCCAGGTAGTAATCTGCCCGATCAATGGCTCGGAATGCCTGTTCCACCAACTCTGTCCTGATGTACTGCGCCTCCTTCAGGTTATCAATTAACTCATCGTTATCTTCTCCCGCGCTCACCGCGCCTCCCATCTTCAGCAGCCTCCTGTAAACACTGAAAGTGAAATAACAACAGAGCAAGGTGAGCTACAGGACGTGCCCTCCAACACTAGATTATGCTGCTGTACATGGAGTACTTTGAGAGAGGTCTTTATGTACTCCAAGGACCACAAGCTCCAGCAAAACCTCATGCCAGACAATGGAAAACAAAATGCTGCAGATCTGGCGTCCAGTACCTGACACCAGAGGGGAAAAAAAAAATCACAATAGGCAATTTCGATGTGCAAGGCCTGTCTTCAAACCCTCCCACTGTTTTACCAGCACATCAGCTTTTCCACTGAACCCTTTTATATAACGGATTATTCCAGCTCCTGGGCTTAGGGGTCATTTTTCACTGCAATTCCAAACAACAGGGCAAGTTTGGACTGTCTGTCAGAGCTCCTGCCACACAACTTTCTACCTCTAACAGCACCAATGGCAACTGAAGAGACTACAACACAGCAAGAAAATCCAGAAAAATCTCAAATTCCATTTCCTTTGCATCAGGATGTGGATTGCACAGAGATTCAAAAAACCCAACAAAACTCTGACCTGTTAACCTTGCTTACTTTGGCAAATGCACTTTAGCAAATGCATTTTCACACAGCTCATCTCCAGAGCCCAAGCCAGCACCATTAGTAAAGCACTTACTGACACAGACAGCAGCTCCAGAGAGAATTCCCACTGCATCCTCCAAGTTTTAAAGGAAAACGTATAGGGGAACAAAACCACTCAAAATTAACCTGGCTTCTTCTCCCTTTCTCATATCTTAAGGAAAAAAAATCCTTTCCAGAAAGCACAAAACAAAGTGTTTATTTACAATGCCTTTCTCTGCTCACAGTAATAACCACGAAGCAGTAGCTTTGGAGCTCATTCCTGGGATCAGAAGATCTGCCTACAGCGAAATTGTTGGGGTTTATTTGTTACATTCAGCCAGAGCAAATTATACACTCTCATTTTCTGAGGAAACAAAGCAAAGCTACAGACTCCAAGGAGATTTCACAGTTGTTCAAATAACACATCATTCTGATTACCTATGGAGGCACACAAAACAGCATATACTTAGGCAGGGAACTGGAGCCAGTTCTTAATCCATTCATGTCTCAAACACATCAATCCAGTTCAACATCATTAATAACACTTGGAATAAAACGTCACCCTCGTCTTTCCACAGTTACTCCTTCATTTTCTCTACAAAAAATGACTCTGTTTAATTACTTCACACTGGAAACACATCAGGTTGAAGGCTCAGGTGGGTTAATCTACCAATTATTTTCCCCCCCTCCTCTTACATACAAAAAACTTAATTGCATTTCCAACATAGGCCTGCCCGTATCTTTGGTCTTTTATTTAACATGCCACATTAAAATACTCTCCTCACTGAGGATCTGATTCCCTTGACTTTCTTTTATATATTTTTGTTCTTAAGCTTCCTTCATTCTTTCACTCTTTTTGCTATTCATTTTTTTTTTTAAATCTATGGTTTTAGATTTAAAGCATGAATAAGAAGTTGTGCCTTTAACAGTGCTCCACTTTGGATCCCCAACAAATTCCTGCTGCTGTACACAAGCCCCACTGGGACAACTGGTCTGACCTGGTTTTAGCTCAGCTCCATGGACAACAAGTGCTCTTCCATGTTCTCCACCATGGAAAACAACAATAACCACCCAGGCTGGGACATTGTTGTAATAGGGTCAAGGAATATCTGCGCTGTGACAGGTGTCACTCACTGCTGAAATCATCCCTTTCACTGGACATCAGTTTACTCCCAGTAAAATGCATGTTTTATAGGCAGAACTTAAAACTCTGACATTCAAACTCCTCTCTTCATGTGATCCCACACCTTCGCTTCGGTGGGAAATGGGAATCAAGCAGGGCTTATTTTTACTCAACTTTTCAAAACAAAACTCTCTCCCTCCGCAGCAACCCCTGGCTGCATTTTCCTCACTCCTAAGGCAAAACAGGTATTTTCCCCAAATCTGAGCAGGGACAAAGTCCACACGCACAGATTCGGACGGCTGCCCAAAACAGAGACATCAAAGGAGTTGAAACATCCCCTGGTTGCCATCTTCCCTGTTGATAAAAACAAACCAGAGCACAAACCAAGCGCTTGCAGCAGAACACCGGGGCTGGAGCGGCCCCTGCCCCTCACGGCAGCACGGCCCGGCGCTCCGGGCAGGCTCGGGACCAGGCACAAGGCACAGAAAAGCGGCTGCTCACCCCCGGCAGATCTGCAGGGCAAAGCCTGCCCGGGCACAGCGCTGGGAGCGGTAAAGGGGAGGTTGTAAAGGGGAGGTTATTCCGTGATTAAAGATAAAAGCGGTACCTCAACGGATGGCTCGGCTCCGTTCGGTTCCGTTCGGCACGGCTCGGCTCCGTTCGGCTCGCTTCGGCTCGGCTCCGTTAGGTTCGGCCCGTTTCGGTTCGCCTCGGCTCCGTTCGGCTCGGCTCGGCTCGGTTCGGGTCAGTTCGGTTCGGCCCGGTTCTGCCTGGTTCGGTTCGGCTCGGCTCAGCTCGGCTCTGCTCGGATCAGCCCAGGCCGGCGCGTTCGGGCTGTAAACACTGCCCAGCTGAGCGCTGAGCGGGGCACTGCGCATGCGCGGAGCGCACCACCGCCGCGGGTGGGGAGAGAAGGGAGCACACCACTGCTGCCCGGCGGGGGGCGCAGTCTGGGCCGTACCACGCAGAGCCTGCTCGGGGGGGCAGGACTGTACCAGGGCTGGTTCCGGGAGGGGAGTCGCGGGGATGGAGCCGGCCGGAATTTGGGATACGGGGAAAACTTCCAGCACCTTCTCCCAGAAGCCACCCTGCTACCAAAACCTTGCCCTGCACACTCAGTGTAACGCACCAGGACCAGACTCAAGCTGCCACTCTCGTTTCTCCCATCGCACAGCTCCTGGGCACGTCCCCATCTCAGCGTGGATGCCTTTCCCCATTCCCAGACTCTCTGCCCTTCCCAAAGTTCTTGTTCCCAGCACGAGGCTTCATCTCCACACCTGCTCCTCCAGCTCATGGCCCAGCTGTCCCAGCTGTCCCTGGTGTCCTCGGTGGCGCTGTGCCGGTGGGATGGGATCGGGGCTTCCCGGGATGCGGGAGGGATGCAGGGAGCGAGGGACCGGGGAGATGCCGTGAGCTGCGGGCACAGACACAGGAGCCGAACCTCCCGAGTGAAGCCTGGCCAGCACCAGGAGTTCTGGTACCATTAGTCAGGCTTGGGAAAAAAACATGGGAACACAAAAAAAAAAAAGAAAAAGAAAAAAAAAAGTGGTGATATTCTTCATTTTGAGCCGATGAACACCCAGTTTGAGTCACATACTGGGATTTATTTTTTTTTCTCCCTGCAACCATAAATGCCAGATGTGAATTTACTGAGGAATAAATGAGATGCAAATTCACATGATTCTAGAGGCTGGGGCTTGAAGGAAACATGGAATATTGTGAGACTTCACAATATCGGATATGCCGTTCTTGTAATGAGGGATCCTTGTCCCATAACTGAGCATTAGGCCATTAATTTTAATTTTACACACCCATGTGAGCTTCTTCAGTGACCTGGGGGAAAAGGTGGCTCCTGTCACTTGTCCAAGACTGAGAGAAATTATCCTCTAAAAGTGTGTGTTTGTTTTCGTGTGTAAGTGACCCACCCAGCATCGGCTGATGCTGCAGATGAAATAAAATTATCTGGCCTGGCCTTGGATCTAGGACTTCATATTGGCTGCAAAATGAGAAGGAATAACTACAACAAAACAAGAGGCCTCTTAATTCAAGTTCTCTGGAGATGAATTGTGAAAAAAAATCTGTCTTGGCAGACACAACAAGCCTGCAGCAGAAAAAAAATAAGAATTACCCTGGTAAATGAGACTCAAATAGGAGAAAGTGAATCAGCATCCGAGATTTATTTATGCTTTAAGGTGATTATCTCAGCTCCCTTCATTAACGTGATAACAGCAGACTCTGCAAACAGGCGCAGGGTAATACTGTAGATGTCTGCACTTTCATTTTGCAGAAGACAGCTGCCTGGGAGAATGGGATTATTTGTGGAGAGCCAGCTCTGAAACTCCTCCTTGCTGATTCAACCGAAACAGGCCGTGGTGATTGCTCTCTGCTCGTCTTTCACACGGAGAATGCTTGGGGATAATGGCACCGCACTGCAAACTGCAAACGCAGGACACACAAACTCCTTGCACGTGTGATTCCATTCAGCATCTGCTGCCTTTGCTGCTGGAATCACTTGATAAATAGCAGTTGGGTTTTTTTTGTTTTGGGGTTTTTTTTGTTGTTTTTTTTTGTTTGTTTGTTTGTTTTTGTTTTGGTTTGGGGTTTTTTGTTTGTTTTGGTTTTGGGGGTTTTTTTTGTTTTGTGTTGGTTTGGGTTTTTTAGGGTTTTTTTGTGCAAAAATTACTTTTTAAAATGAATTGCAATTGTTGCTAAAGCAGCTGTGCTGCCAGCAGAGAGCTTGCAGAGGGAGAGGGGAGCACTGCTGGTTCCTCTTTCTGGCAGCAATGAGTGCTCAGGAAGCCCAGTAAGAACTTGAGGAGCATTTTAGGGATTCCCAAATACCCTGTCCTCTCCTGGATGTATTCATGACTCCCAGCAGCCTTAAACTGCCAAGATCAGTGAGGCTTGCAGCTTCTGTTTCCAGCCAGAGAATTACAGAGATTAGCCAGGAGAAACACACAGAGAGGAGAATATTTACCCACTGCAGGTCCCCCCCTCACTGCCTGCACCCCAAACCTGTCAGGAGCAGAGCCATGGGGAGGGAGCAGCTGAAAGGACACGGCCATCCCCAAGGCACAGGTTGTTTTCTTCACCTCGAACTCCTGCCCATCTCTGCTGCACGTGGCCCAAATCCCTCGTGCCACTCTGTGTCACACTGTCACTGCTCCACGGGCTCATCCCCAGCTTCCCACTGCTTCTCCTCCCCTGGCAGCTTTTCCCCATCTCTTTGCTTTGAGAATGAAGCTGTGGCTGAAAACACCTCCATGGGTGTCAGAGCACGGGGCTCCAGCTCTGGAGGATACCAAAAATTGCCTGATAAGATTGCCAAAAATCCCCACATTTAGAAAAAAAAAAGAACAGTTGGGTGTTTCATCATTCCACGGGGCTCCAGCTGCTGATTCTCTATGTTTCTTCTTTCCCTGCTCTTTACAAATTCCTTCCTTTCCTCCTTGCAGCTCCCTGGGGCTCTGTGAGCCCGGAATTAGAGTCAGCAATAGCTCAGTGACTCTCTCCTGGCTGCAAACACCTGCAGGCAGCTGCCCCTGCCTTGGAGAGCCCCAGCACATCCTGGGAGTGGAGAAAGCAGAGCAGGATTAGGAGAGCAAGGCCTGGTGGCACTGAAATCACAGCGTTTGTGTCCCAGCCCTGCACCACAAGGTGTCCCCAGCAGTACAAGAATTGCTGCAGGGTTTCACAGGTGGCACCTCAGCATCTTCTCCTGGGCTGGCTCCCTCACAGGCACAAGTCCCTGCTCTCAGCATCCACATTCTTACCAGGGAGAATCAGTCTCCATCCTTCATTAGCTGAGATAATTGCTGAGAGCAAGCAATTTTCACAAGGCCAAGCTGAAGCCAAGATTTTCCTTGTTTTTATTTCCCCATGTTTTACAGTTTCCACCTTCATTTTTTTTAAACTGATTTATTTAATAAATATTTTCAAAACAACAGTCAGTATGAATTAACTTCTGAACTCTTAGTGATGCCGAGCTAAAATTATTTCATTTATTTGGAAGATCAAGTAGTAGAAATGCATTTTAGCCCCCAAACCAGGGCCCAGCAGACTGAGCTGACCTGCAGCCTGGTGGTACAGATGGTTGGTTAAGTCAACAGGGTAATTAGTGAGTGACAGGAGGACTCACACAAATTAAGAGCTGGGGGAGCATTAAATCATATGGGTATATTTTCACAATTTTTCTTTTTGCATTTTGTAAAATATGCTGTGTTGCCTTTTCTGTGGTCAGTTTGGCTCTATACCACTTTCATATGCAAATACTCTAGATATGCATATGCACACGTGCATATATGCAAATACATGCAGACATATGCATTTACACTGGAATTAATATTAACACACTGACAGCAAATCGCTTGAGATCCTCCTGCCCATGTAAAAGATTTATATATATATATATATATGTGTGTGTGTGTGTGTGTGTCCTCCTGCTTCACTTCATCTCAGGGCTCTGTGAGTAATTGCTGAAGCAAGAGGAAGAACATATGTCTTGATTTCCACTGGATTGCACCGCACATAACCAGTGCCACATGGAAAAAGGACTCCTGAAGCCCTGGATTCATCTCACTTCAGTGTGTCATCGAAGGAAGGCAGCCAGGAGATGCTGCAGCCTGGCTGAGAGTGGGAGAAGGTGTCACCAGACATCCCTGACAGTGGGGACGTGGAGCATTGAGGTGTTTCATCTCTTCTTGGTACTGCCAGCAGCTCTGTCCTGTCCCTCTGCTGCCTTGTCGTGGCCCATCTGCCATCATTTAGGAGGCAGCTCCCAAATAAAAATCTCAGAAATCGAGCTTTTCATATTGATGGAGGAACAAAACCATTCACGGATCTTTCAAGTGATTCATGGATTAAATTTAAAAAATGGGGTTTTTTTGATTTATAAATAATAAAAATGCCATCAGATGGCAGCCATATCACATTTCCCTCCTTTAACTTTGGCAGTCCTATGTGTCCCACCTGCAGACTCACTGGTCAGGCTGAAACAGCCACATTTGTCACCTCAAAGACCCCTCATCCATCGAGCTCAGAAGGCCCTTCCAAAACCTCCCTCCTCCAGCAAAAGAAAAACATCTTCAAATTTCCAATGGCAATTTATTCCTGGCCAAGATGTGCCTTATTTGATCCCCCACCCGTATTATCCTCTAACATAAATCATTCCCCTTCCTCCCACCCTGCATGTATTTATGAAAAGTAATCATATCCCCTCTTAACCTTTGTTTTTCTAGGCTAAACAAGCCAAGCTCTTTTAATCTCCTCTCCTAAGATAGGATCTCAGTTCTGCTAATCACTCTGCCAGTCCTTCTCTGCACCTGTTCAAGGATAAATTAATCTTTTCTTTTTCCAAGGAGAGATCCCAGAAATATACACAATATCCCACACGAGGTCGTACCAATACTGACATTTCTCTGTGTCTGCCAAATAAACGATTTGTTGCATGAGACTTTCTGCAGAACAAATGGAAAATAGATGAAAATCCATAAATTAATAACTATAACAAAACCTTAAACGTAACAGAACCTTACTCAAGGAGATCACTGTGTTACTTGGACTTGCATTCTGCTCCTTTGCATTTGGGGGTAGAGGTCCTTAACAGGCCTTGATCAGTGGGTTTCCATATTTCATTTACCCTGGATGAGCACCAGGACCTTGTATTAAAGGAAGCTGGGGAAAGTCTTTTCTGTGTTTCCCTCAGCCTTTGCTGTGTCAAAACACCCTTTGAAATCACGGCTGAGGGTTTGAACTGCAGAGATGCAGAGTCAAATGATGAAAAACATTTTGCATTCGTCTCTTCTCTTTTCAAAATGATTTTCCAGTTTTACTCAGGGTTTAATTAAATTTCTGTGA